GACACCCATAAAATGAGTATGTAGCCATTTAAAAGAAAGAATTGGATATATACCAGGTCATGTGCGATTAATAGATAGGCTTAGCAGGTATGTATATAACATAATTTGATTTTTAAAAAACCTGGTCAACCATTTATATATGTTTATGTGTCCAAAATTATAGAATCATGGATAAAGAATATAATATTCCAGGTTGTTTACTCTGAAAGGAGAAGAAATAAAGATGGGGATAGAATATAAAAACAAAACCAAAAAACATTTAAAAAAGTGTCTAACATGTATGAGATGGGTCCTTGTATTTGTTTATATACAGACATAAAAATATGCAAAATGTTTTAAAAGTGATCTTGCTTTCAGAAATACTGACTCAAAATCACACAAGGACTATTTATACAGGTTACATTATAGTCCAGATTCTACTGGCAGACAGATATGGGGCTGAATTCTAACTTTGGGACTGGTTAGCTATGTAACATTGGGCCAGTTATTCATATTCTCTAAGCTTTAGTTTCCTTATCTGAAACTGAAATAATAATAGTTCCTACCTCACAGAGGAAATGAAATAATGCACGTAAAATTCATCACAGTCCCTGGTACTGTACTCAATAAATATTTGTTATTATTCTTGGCCACAGATTACATATTAACCAATTTATCTCTGGATCCAATAAAAGGCTTAAAGATAGAATTAGCATCTCAGAAGCAACATATGTTGTTTTTAAGTATTTTTAATCCCTTGCTACACTCCTCAGTTCTTAAAGTTTTCTCAGGAAGTCCTGAGGTTTTCACCAGAATTTGTAATTTAGATCACCAAAACACTTAACCATATCAGCAAAACAAATGTAGTAAACAGTTAAAATGAGCTCCTTAGGAACATTAGGAACACAGTATGTGAAAACCATTTACTTTGTAAGTTTTTAGAGTATTTTAAAATTTAACATCTGTAACAAACCATTTAACTTATTATGCTTATATATATTTTTTAAAATCTTACTTTATTTGCTGGATTATTTTACTTAAGGAATGTTTTATTTAATTTTCATATTTTGTTTTATGAAAACATAAAACAGCTTGACATCTCTGGTATGATATTAGATTTTCCATATTCAATA